TTTTTAAATATGCGCGTTTATCTCTTCACGCAAAAATGAATAAAAAAAAAAAAAAAACTTTGCGAATATGTTACATTTTTTTTTTTTTTTGCACAAAAGAAAACGAATTCGCCATATCTTTGCTCTTAAAAGTAACCATTTGCTTTTGTCACCAATAGACTATGATTTTCCCCTTAAAAAAAAAATAAAAAATAAAACATGTGACTGTTGTATATTTGCGCAAAAAAGAGTAGTAAGGGGGTGAAAATTTGGAACAAATGCTTGTGGAAATATATATTTGCGTGCATACATGCGAGGGTATACTGTGCGTATACATTCGAGGGCATGTATTTATGTTATATATCATTTTATATTGTGTATACGTTCCTGTACCGCGGTGCGTGGGAGGCATCTGTACGATATGTTGAAACGGCACATGGACTGCGCGCGCATGAGGCCACACATCGGTTTTTATTGAGCTCTGAATCTGCTTTCCTGTTCACGTTTGTGCTTGCTTTTTGTTTTTTTTTTTTTTTTCCAGTTGTACTGGCTACTTCTCTGTTCAATGTCAATGAATGCGCGCGGGCTATGCCAGTTCTGCATGATTACCTTTTTACCACGCATACCGTTGCATTTACTCCAGAGTATCACCATCACGCTATTTGTGCTTTTGTTTTTTGTTTATATTTTTGTCATCTACATGCATGTCATATAGAGCGTGTTGTGTTGTGCCTCCACCGCGCGTACTTGGCAGCAGCAAAACGTTGTAGGTAGTTAGCAGAGGGGGAGTAAACACTCAGAGATTTCACTGAGTACATTTATTTGCATTTTCTTGTATCAACTTACATTTACGTGCTTGCGCGCTTGTGCCACAGCCTGTACGCCCGTACGATCATCCCCACACGTAGAACGCGGAACTGAGCAAACATACCAACAGGGAGTAATCACTCAAAAGCAACTGGTCGAAAATGTACGCAACCGCAAAAGCAAATGCGGTGGTATATGAACACATGTGCTTTCGTGGATGTATAATACCTGTACCCAATACGTACATGCGGGAATTTCTGCATGCGCACATATGTGGATGCATACATCAGTGTCACAAAGTGGCAAAGTGTTGACCACCGCACACGCTGTCATCAAGCTCAAAGCAAAGTAGTGCTACCCCGTGTAAGCGCTGCAACGACTCAATTGCGTAACGTGCAACGTCCATATATATGCCCACAACACATTGGAGTTCACCATGTGCGCTTAAAAGGTGCGCGCATGAAGGTAACCTGTGGGGTAATCTCTTTTCTGTTCAGTTCCCCATGCTGATGGCCCAACAGAAGAGAAGTCATCCACTTGTGTAATTTTTAAGGACTGTTGTCTTTGCTTTTTTTCCAAAAGGATACTGTACTCCCCTTTCGGTCATATTCAAGAAAACACGCCGGTGTGCTTTTTAGTCGGACATGTAAACATGCGGTAAAAAATTTACATAATGAATTTTCCTGTCTTCGATTTCACATCGTCATATTTATTCTACATTTATACGCAGAAAGAGGTGTGCAGAAATTGTAGCTAATGTGTTTCAAATATGTTATTCGGTTACGTCCATTCTTATAAGCTGTTACTTTGTACACGTTAAAGGTGACGTATGTTTTAAGCTCATCTTACATCATTGGTGCAATTGCAATTCTGGCTGCCTTTGCAAATACGCCCCCGTCTGTGCATCAACAATGCAACACATCGAAATGGTAAAATATATACGTTTCCAAAAAAACAAACAGGGGAAAGAATTAACCTTAAAAGGATGTACACTTTGCTCTGTTAATGCATTGTGTTGTATCCTTTTGCTGCTTTATTGAATGTTATGAGAAAATCTCTATGTTGCAAGGGGCAGGGAAAGCATATGTTCCATCAGTTTTATTCCCCCTAATCCAAAATAAACGTACAACAGGTACCACTTGTTCGTTTCACATTTTGACAATTTTGGACAAGTTAAAACTGACGCAGTTAGTTATGCCTACTTATAAGAACGGTAAATTTTTTCTTTATCCTACAAACTGTAATTCCGTCACGACAGGTGTAGTGGGAAAAAAAAAAAAAAAAAAAAAACCAAAAGAACGTCTCACCCACGTAAAACCCTGCACAGTGTGAACGTCACACAAAAAGAAATGTTCAACAAATAAACCAACGTATGATAAATGCATAAAGTGTGGCAGGTGCCCATATTTTGGAGTCAAAAGTTGGATTAAAAATTACATATTCTGTCCCTGTGTGAAATATGCAAGTGGTCAAACGTACATAATTAGTTATTTGGCCAAATAGCTATTTTTCAGCTGCGCTCTGTTTACCTGAACAGGTAATGTTAAAAAATGGACTTTTTCGGGAAAAAAAAAAAAATTCCCCGAATTATGCAAGCCAACAGTTCATTTATTTTTACTCCCAAATGGTACATAAGGGAAACACCGCTTTGAATGAGAATACGTCTACAAAAACGGCAAGAAAAGAGACCACTATCCAGGCCAATTTGTAAAAGTTACCAGTTTGTGCAAAAATATATTAAAGTGATACACAAAAGGGAGAAAAAAGTAATGCCATATTATGGACGATCTACACTAGCAGGACAGCACGAAAGCAGTAGTACGATAATGTGAATGCAACAGTTTACCACCCATCCTGGTGCACTTCATACCTTAAGGGCAACACTGACGAGGTTAACAATATACCTGTCTGTGAATATATACATCGTCCACATAGCGCTCGTTACATTTCGGAACGAACGCGGTTCCTTGCAGAGGATACACTATTACGAAACCCATGTCATACAAACGATTCTTAGCAAAAGGCTCCTTCGCAAAACGCCCCCCACGAACAATGAACAGCTCGTGCAACTTCCTGTACAGACAAGTCATCCGCTCCTGTAATAAAACCTTCAACGCCGATGTGGAGGCGAAAGTGAGCGTATTAAATGGAGTGAAAAATATGATCAGGGAGCAACTGACGACCAAGGAAGAGAAGGATATTAAGCAACAATTAATGGAAGCTAACGATTTCATTAAAAATAATATCATTCAGGCAGTGTATAATACCAACACAGGCAATTATAAAGTTGAGCTCAAGGAAGAACAAGTCAAAAAGGGGTCCATAACCCTGGGAACAAAGTTCGATAATAATAAGTTTCCCTTTTGAGGAAATTGGTCGAAACGCTCAGTAGGGTAAATTAACCATTCTGAGTGTCACTAAAATGGATGCCATGTAGGAGGACAAAAATCACATAACGCATTTGTACCCCGCGCTAGGTGCTTTCTTGTGTGTACCCGATGCACACACGTCTTATCGCGGTCTCGATTACTTCACGATTACACCGCTTGTGGCGTCGCTTCGTGCATACCCCCCCAAGACTATTTATTCCTCATCACATTGTTGCGCGGAATAAATGCCTTCATACGTAGCATCTCACTAATGCAATTTCAAAAATGTGATGACGGGCACGGGGTTAATGGAGTGAAAAAAGAGGCAACGATGGTCAAAACGACGAAAACGGACAAGACACGTGCGCACACTGCTGCACACATGAAACAAAGCCTAAATTAATTAAGGACAAAAAAATAAACAATAAAAAAACGTGAAGCGTTTAACGAATTTTGTAAAATATTAAAAACGAAAACGGTTTTGTGAAATGCGCTAAACGAAGCCAAAGTGCGATGGACACACCATGGAGAGAACATCGTTGTTCGGATAACTGGGCGGACCAGTACCCCTACAAACTAAATACAAAAACAAAGACAAAAAGAAAAAAAACCAAAAAAATAATAAAACATCAAATTGGTAAAACGAAGAGGAAAATTTACGCGGCGCGTAAGTAGACCGGGTGGAGAGCACAGAAATGTAACTACAGTGGCTGCGCCCGCATGGAAATGTCATGTCTGCAGGGGGAAAAATAAACATGGGCCCATTTTTTTTCTGTCAAAATGGGCTAACCAAAATATACCACAGGAGGTTACAAAATAGGAAGCCTTCCGCACAACACTGTAGATGGGCATATGTGCAAAAGAATTTCACTGCTAAGAATGTCATGTCCCAAATATTCCAAACTGAATTGGGGAAAATCCTCCCCGGTATAAATGTGCGTAAGAATGTTTCCACCCCCATATGCATTTGCACCCTATTACGGCATCTCATATGTGTTCACACATGTGGACATCTTATTTGTGTGTGGCTACACCTCACTCGGAGAGGACACCCACGACGACGAAGAGCACAATTGTTAGGAAACCTGACAAGGCTGCATTCACCCCAGAGTTAATCATGCTATTAATCTTCTGTATGTTCTGCTTCTGAACATCATCGAAATCGTTTAAGGACTCACAACTTATGTTGGGGACGATTTTATTTCTGCCCACGCAAACCCCTACATTGGTTGTCCCAACGATCTTATACCCATTTTGACACGTGAATTCTATTTTCTCTCCCATTACATAAAAATTTTTTTTTGGACTGAAAGAAATATTGTGTGCATTCGAAGGCTTAACACAAATTTCATTATCTGTGATTTTATATTTGTTTTTAATACTTCTCAATTCTGCCTCCTTTTCAGCAATTAGCGCCCCTTGCAATAGCACGGACGGGTTGGGTCTGTCGTTTAAATTAGCACAAATGCTTGATTCTACTGTTATCCATTCGTCGTAATGGTCTCCATGACCACTGATGTTGAAGTTATGCTTTAATATGTCCTTCTCGTGTGGAGGACTTCCCAGGTTGCCATTCCCTATTGGGTGTTTTCCTGGGAGTTGTTCATTTCCTCCTTTGGCAGCGTGGCCATCTTGACCATCCTGATCATCCTTGCCATTTGTATCCGCCTTTCCTGTATCGTAGATCATACTTTCCGTTACGATTTCCGTTGGAGTCTCCACTAATTTTTCAGGGGGCACTAGCACCTCATGAGCCTCGGAGATGCTCTCCCCTGTTGGAGCTTCATCAGATGCTTTCTTGCCCTCCATCTGTTTCATGTTGCTTCCTTCTCCATCACCGCTGCTTCCTTTTGTATCCTTGCTTAGTTCCTTGCCTTTGCTTTTCCCAATTTTTTTTTCAAACTGTTCGTCAAAATCGTCGTCCTCTTTCTCGTCTGCCCCATCTCCCTCCACGTCCACTTCTTTTTCCATGTCTTCCTCATCATTCAGGTCGTTAAAATCTGGGTCCTCTTCTGCATCCAGTCCCTCCCCCATATCATCATCGTCGTCGTCGTCTTCGTCATCCCCATGGGATTTCCCCTTCTTTGCGTTTGCCTTCTTGGTCTCTTTGCCGGCACTGCTATTTGGTGTTTTTTTTTTTTTTTTTTCACTCAAATTTAATTCCAGTAGGGATAGAAACTCTTCATCCTTACCAATTGTGCGCTGTCCATCGGTTCGAAGTACATGATAATTGGGGTGGCCATCCGGTTCGCTTTGTCCATGCGTCGTGTGTACGTTAATGACTCCTCCATGTTCGACTCCCGTCTGCTGATGTGGTTTCTTTTTATGGCGCGTTCCAGCCCCCCCTGCCTTGTTCTTCCTATACTCATGCTTGTAAGACAACCAAACGCAGTTAAAGTTCGTCTTCTGATTGTTACCAAAGTTTTTATACAGCTCCTCCATCATATAGCATGACCCTTCCGAGTTGAACAGTTCACACGCTCGCACATCGGACCCAATGTCCGAGCCGAATACGTTGATGTTGACGTATCCTGCCAGAGTGGTGGGAAAAGAAAAAAAAAGAAAAAAATGAAAGGAGCATCAAAATGGACAGTCCACTAACGGGCACACATCTCTCAATGGCGCCTACGGTGGAGACACCCCACACACGCATGCGCACCTCTCCACTCGTCACAAAAGGAGAAGTAAAATCACTCCAAGGGGTACCTTCATTTTCGCATCCATTCATGCCCAGCTTACACTCAGTGTATCTAGAGCATTCCCTTGCTCCCAACAGTTTACAATTTTGGAAGCACGCCTGATAAGAATGATCATAGAAACAGTTCTTATTCTCCGCACATGCGTTCTCATTTTTTAAATTAAAACATGGACTGTTTATTTCAATGTGCTTGTTATCGTTTTCGCTATGAAATGATTTAAAAATTTCATCGTCGTTGTTATATTCATAATTGGTGACTCCTCCATTGATGTAAAGATTTTCCCCTTGTTTGATGATTTCTTCAGGTGCTATTTGGGTGGGGGGCCCAACATGATTCAGATCCCCCTGGTGGTCACTTGGTGTGTTCACGTGCTGCATATTCCCCTCGTGTCCTTCCTGCGCCTTCTGTTGTACATCTTGATGACCGTTCCCTTGGAAGAATGAAAAGGCTTCGGGAAAAAAAAAAAAAAAAAAACATATGACACAACGTAACAGAACATGCATGGGACGCTACGTCAGGGGGACAACGCATGTCAGTGCATATGTGTGCTGCCTCTTATGGTGTACACTAAGCGGACAGCGCCTCGCTCTTACTGGATCTAAGGTGCGCGTGCTCATCTTCCACCTGATCCTCGGTTGTGTCGTCGAACGCTTGGGATGTGTCCCCGTGTTCAGTGTCATCCTTCCAAAAAAAAAAAAAAAAGGACATATTTGTACGAGAAGAGGCCGATTCGCGCATATAGCAGCAGCTCTACATCCATGTGTGCACGGAACAGCCGCAGAAAACATAGAGCATGGTGCATAATTATAAAACAGCTGTATGCACACTTTCACATGGTGACATGGCTGCACGCGCGCCCATGCATGTTTTGCAAACCTGTGGGAGTATTTGTTCCTCCATGGTGGCTTCTCCACCCCAGGCGGACTCCAACTTGTTCTGACCCCCAGGCAGCGCATGTCCCGGCTTGGGCTCTTTGGCCCGCAACTCGACGTTGCAGCAAAGCAAATGTGCTATTATTATCCCGCATAGTACATTCATTTTGTTCTGTTCTGTTTTATTTTAGTTTTCCGCGTGTGACAAGTGAGACTCTGTAAGGACGTGGTTTAGCTTTATGCAAAATTGCACAAGCACAGTCCCCATACATGCATTTCCGCTGCATACACACATGTGCGCGATCGTCTGGTGCGCGCGCCGGCACGTGGTACATATGTGTACTCCTTTGTTTAGCCGCGGATATGCGGCTGCTCTGGGTGTGCGTTGCGAAATTGACGCTGATTCAACGTTGTGACCGATTTCGTCTTTTGCGCAGTTTTGTCTGTGCCCCCGTTGTGTGGTCCCTTTCCACTTCCTCTTTTGCCTGTCCCTTTTTCGCGAATAACTTGGCGTAAAAATTGCCACAAAAAAAAAGGGATGTGTACGTGTAGGGGGGGCAGGAAGTTCACGCATAACCGAACTTATTGACCCGCTCGACAACCACACATAAAAGGAGTAGGTAAAAGAACTACGCTTATTTTGCCAGAACAAATGGACACCCACCTGGTCGAATTGAACGTTGTATCTTTTCACTTAATGCACGCAAAGTGCATATTTGGCGCGCCACGTACGCAGAAGAAGGAAAAAAAAAAAAAAAAAAAAAACAAGTGATAACATCCGTTTTTAATTCATACCACGTGTTTGCGTATAATTTGCGCGCAGACAGGACTGCTAAATGTAGCCACCGCCTCTTTCGCAAAAAAAAACAAAACAAAACAAAAAACACCACCTGTTCAACAGAACGTTTCAGGCAAATGCCTTCTCAATTTAGGTGAAATTTGTGTACGCTCCACGGCGTAGGAACGGGGCCTCCGTTTTTGTCCCCCCGTGCGAATGGTCCAAGCGAATAATCCACCCGATTGATTTTCTCATGTGGAATTGTCCATTTCACCGCACTGCGTCCATTTGAAGCGCCCCTCTTTGGCCTGTCACCCCAATGCACGTAAGTGCTACACGGCGGGTTAACTTATTCCCATTTTTGTACGTACCTTGGAACACGCACGCATCGTGTATGTGGTGAGGGATCGCAATACGAGATGAAACACTTGGATTATTCCTTTTCCATTTAGTTATTTCCACGCGCTGATCATACGTTGCGCCCGCGCTGTCTACCCTCGCCCCCAAAAAAAGGCCCTACCAAAAATGTAAGAACACTTTCAGTAGAGGGAAAAATAAAACGTTCACCCAGAATGCTTGTAAATGTCCCTTCATGGGGATGAAGCTGTCATAGCGTTGTGTGGGCGATCTGACCAAAACGCAAATTATGATTGAACGAAAAAAAGTGCAGGACAAAGCTTCATAATATAAAATACATTTCGGATGGATTCACTTGGGGAATAAAAAATGTTAAAACACAACGAAGCAGCGTGAACGCTCTTGCAACGCAGTTGTTTTCCTGTCCCTGCGACGTCTTACGCCTCACGTTCATATTTTTTGTTGCCTGCTTATTTTTATTTACTCGTTTTGCCTGTCTGATGCGTTTCCTGTTCTTTTTCCCGCAAAGTTGAAAGAAAAAGGAAGAAACTTTCATTAAAATGAGTTAAAAAATATAAAAAAAAAAAAAAAAAAAAAAAAAAAAAAAAAAAAATAAAAAAAAAAAAAAAAAAAAAAAAAAAAAAAAAAAAAAAAAAAAAAAAAACGACAGTGAGGGACACTTCCATTTTACTTTAATACAGAATGATAAAACAACCTCATGTAGTTCCTTTCCCCTTTTAATGATACTTATATCCCGCCCAAAAAATTATGTGCACTTGTCAAGAGCATATGCAGCCTGTGGACTTCACGTCGTATTTTTATATATATTGTGCTTACATGGACATTGGGCAGAGGGGCGACGCGCAAAGCCCTGACCCAGCAAATGCATGTACTTTTTATTGCAACGTACTATTTATTTGTACAAGCAAAACGACACCAGCAATATGCATGTATATATGTATTTGTGGAATGTCATTTATTGTGCGTTCAAAGGCATCCGTGCAAAGAGCCCCTCTTTTTTATATGTGCCCTAATTTCACATAAATCAACAGGAAAGCATTTGTGGAGGTTTCTTCCATTTTAATGCGGCATATTTTTATTATGCTGTATATTTCAAGAGGCTTCTTCTCAAGGGCGTTTTTTTTCTCTCCACCTGTACATTTTTTTTTTTTTTTTTTTTTTTTTTTTTTTTCCCTCTTTTATCAAATTTATAATTAAATGAACTTATCTTTTAAGGCATTTTTGCCAATCCCGCGAAAACCATATTTTGTCCGTTTTTCTCATTTTTTTCCCTTTTTTTCGGGCGCTGCGCATAGATATATATTTGTACATATACATATGCAGCCTCGCCCGGCTCGCGAATGCTTCCCAATATGGAGCCAAATTCACGAGCAGCATTATCCAAGAGTGTGAAATACGCGTACGCGTAAATGTATATATGTATATGTACATATGTTTACTGGCGCGAACCGTAGCTATTCCCCACCCACAGCGCATATGCGAAATGCAACAGGGAATTTACAAATATAACCAATCCGCACACTGTCGCCAAGTCTGGACGAAAGTGGTCACCCAGTTTTGGGCAAACGTTTGCCGCTAACTCCACGCACACCCTCGTCGTGCCTATTAACCCGTGGAACAGCACAAGGAGGAAGCAACATTTGACACAGTGAAATACAGCAGTTATGAGACCATAAGCATGACGATAATAACTACGTAACGAACTGAAGAGCACAAATCGTACATTTTAAACGAGAGGCGGCCACCCCCAGCACACTGTACACAAATATAATTTCCTTCCCGTACGCCCGTGTCTACTGCCTCTACCCCGCAGTATAATAAACGAGTGAACAAAAACAAAAAATTGTTTTTTTTTTTTTTTTCTCGCTTTTCTTTTTTAAAGGTATGAAAGAATTAGTGGGCAGATCACGAAATGAAAGGAAGCTCGATGGAATTTACAATAAACAAAGGGATGCACTGCTGCACCAGTACAAACATCAGAGAGAAAGAAACAATGACATATATGCAAATTTAAACAAAAGGAAAGCCAATGAGACTATTCCCTTCCCAGAAATATACGAGAAAAAAAGAAGACCTAACCAGCTCAACGTGGTGGACACCTCTAAACACAGCAAACAAAAAGGAGGAGACAATGTGAAGGGCGAAGAACAAACTAACAGATTCGACGATGGAAATGCAAAAAACAAACGAAGTAATAACAACGTTACTCTATTTAAAGGAATCCATATGATTATATATAGGTATATATATTCGAAAACCAAGTTTGTTAAAAGTGTAAACTTATTTATAAATCTGTGCATTAATTATCTTAATAATAAAAATAAAAATGTTTTTTTTTTTGCCTTTGATAAAATAGTAAAGGTATTTCTTCAAAATTATATTCACGATGATGAGGGACAGAAAGCATCACACAGCATCTACACCGTTTATACTGAAGACGAGCTGCACATAAAATGTATGGTCTCTTTGTATGACAAGGTTATTAACAGAATAATAGACAATCGCTTCCAAATAAATTCAAATGCTTCCGAGTTGGAGGAAGCCGAAAATCATGTGGAACAGTCTGCAAATACTGATGGTGCGATGAACCAGTCCCCCGATGGTGACGCAGTTAGTGAAGACGCACAGCACAATGAGGACGAAGAGATGCCCAAGCAAGCCACCCCCCCAGGAGTTGAAAAGCCAAACACCATAATCCTAACCAAACAGGAAAAAAAATATCTTAAGGCCCTTAAAATTAAGGTGTACTACCTCATCATTTTGTACAAGCTTAATGATAATTTTATTTTCAATAAATTGATTAGTATATACAGACAGATTTGGCAGGAGCTGCTCAGCGAGTATGAGAATTTTGGTGAGGAGGTGTGTGAGGAGAGGAAGAAGGCCACTTCGCGGGGGGAGAACATCACATCAGGTGAAGCGGACGGTGCTACCACCTCTGATGCAGCCGACACCGCTAATGCTGCTGGACGCGGAGACGATCTCGCGGACGACGAGAATTTCCTGCACATCCAGGACAAGTGGACCCTACCAAACGACTACGAACTGTTTAAGATTAAACGAAGCGCATTCGTTAAGTGTATGTCCAAAGTGTTTAACTTTATAAATGTCAAATGGGCCAGCACCCTGGTGGAGAGCCTGCTGCTAGATGTGTATTTTAAAAAACACATTTTTGATACATGCGATGAAATAGTCATTGAGAAGCTTCAGTCCGCAGCCAAAGTAAATATAAACAAAAGAAAAACTTCTACTCATTCGCCCCATGTTTTATCCATAGGAGAATCCCTAAATCCGGTGGTGGACGCTCGGGCCGAGAAAATCGTGTCTCTCCATGGTTCACACGTTTGGTCATCAAAGCAAATGGAGCGCTAGTCAGGGCTTGCGTGCAATAGCTCCGTCTTTTTATGTTTTTTTTTTTTTTTTTTTTTTTTTCCAACATGCAGCATCCGGTTATCTTTTGTGCCAGTTGGCATGCCCCGTACATGTTGGTTTATCCTTTTTTTTGTAAATTCATTTTTTTGAACTCGTTTCTCAGGTGCCGCCCCATCGCCTCGGTTTGATCTCCCGAGTTTTGTGGCCGCACCGTGCGGCCAAGTTTGTGCATCTTTCCGCCGCGCTGGAACAGGCGCCTGCCTATGTTTTAACTCCAACTTGTCGGCCATTTAAGCCCAACCTCCACGCGAACAAATTCCGGGCAGGTATATTCCCCCCCCTATGTCGCCAGCACCAACAACCGCGTCTTCACGCACTATTGGAACAGTAGTAACATTTAAGGGCTGTGTTTTTTTTTTTTTTTTTTTTTTTGTTTCATCTGAATTTATTTATAAAATTAACAACGTATTAAACAAAAATTAAAAAGGGAAAGAACCTAGGATATAGGATGACGAGTATGCAGAAAGGGAATAGAAAAAAAAAATAAATAAATAACATAGAATTAATGTTACAAAAAGGAGGGGACACAACAGGAGGACAATAATATGTGGTGAGAGGGAAAAAAAAAAAAAAAAAAAAAAAGGCAACTAGACATACGTACAAAGTAGGCACATATATGTGTACGTCTAAACATCCTACCTTCGCCAAGGCAGCATAAAAAGGGGGAAAAGACATCCCCCCCCCACCCTTCTCAATATTATATAAAAAAAAAGAACAAATGTGCCCATAATTGTGATATGCACACGTAACACATATTGGACTGGGCAGATTATAGGGGAAAAGGAGTACGGTGTTATATTTTTGAGGGGGGTCAACATGAGCAGGTGGACGCGAACACAACACGTAAGACTTCAATGGAGCAATGACGCAGTTTGTACTCCCGGCGAACTATTATCCCAGTGCCCATTACAAGTACCCATTCCACCGCCCCGACTCCTGCGCCCTGCACAGGATTTCTTCGCACTCCCGCTCGCTACTCCCGCCCCTGTGGGTTTAGCCGGCGTGGTGGCGCGGGTAGTACTTGGATAGAATGTCCGACTTGATCTTCTTTAGAACGTCCTCGGGGAAAATTCGCAGCAGCTCCCACGCAATATCGAGCGATTGGTAAATGTCCCTACACTCATAAGTGTTTTGCGTAATAAACCTCTTTTCAAATTTGTCCAAAAATTCCAAGTACAAAATATCATCATTGGAAAGAGCCTCCTCCCCAATGACTGCCTTCATGGCCTTCACGTCCTGTGCAATGGCGTAGTTACTATACAGCTGATCAGAAACGTATGGATGGTCAGCTCGAGTCATATTTTTTCCAATACCACTTTTCATAAGTCGAGATAAAGAAGGCAACACATTAATAGGAGGATAAATTTGCCTATTATATAAATTTCGGTCCACGAAAATCTGCCCCTCTGTAATGTAACCAGTCAAATCTGGGATGGGGTGAGTAATATCATCATTAGGCATAGTCAAAATTGGAAATTGAGTTATACTTCCATTTCTGCCTTCAACCCTTCCAGCTCTTTCATATATGGTGGACAGGTCACTATACATATAACCTGGATACCCTCTCCTTCCTGGTACTTCCTCCCTAGCAGACGACACCTCTCTCAACGCATCAGCATAGGAAGACATATCTGTTAATATTACAAATACATGCATTTCTTTTTCAAAAGCAAGGTATTCTGCTGTAGTTAATGCTATTCTAGGTGTGAGGATCCTTTCGATCGTTGGGTCATTAGCTAAATTTAAAAATAAACACACTCTTTCCATTTTTCCATTCTCCTCAAAATCTTGTCTAAAGTATCTAGCTGTTTCCATATTCACCCCCATGGCACCAAACACAACTGCGAAATTATCATCTGAGTGATCCAGCACATCTTTCCCTTGTACCAGAGATGCCTGCCTACATATTTGTGCACCTATTTCGTTATGTGGTAAACCCGCGGCACTAAATAAAGGAATCTTCTGACCTCTCACAATGCTATTCATAACATCAATTGTGGATATTCCTGTCTGAATCATCTCCTTGGGGTATACTCTACACTGTGGGTTTATTGGGTTTCCATTAATGTCTAAATAATCATCAGCCAAAATGGTAGGACCTTTGTCAATTGGCTTTCCACTTCCATTAAATACTCTTCCAAGCATTTCATCACTCATGGGCATTTTTAAAATGTCACCACTGACTTCCACGTAGCTGTTCTTATTATCTATTCCACTAGTACCCTCGAACACTTGAATTACTGCCTTCTTCCCGCACACCTCCAATATCTGTCCTTGCCTTGTAGAATTATCGCTCAGGTGAATTGTCACAATTTCGGAGTATTTGGGGAACTTCACATCCTCGATGATGACTAGGGGTCCTTGCACGCCTGCACGGGGACAAAAAAAAGTATGCATATATATATGTTCACGTAGTAAATGTATCCCATTTTCAACCTCCACGGAAGAGAAATACGCTTCAGCGTTTTACTGCTAGTTCACCCCAGCTGCGAAACAATGCTTACCCGAAATGGTCTTGTACTCCAACCTGGGGCACACCTTGTAATCCCTCACGGCAGCCATCGCGTTAACACGCGAGGCCTCAACTTTCGTGGTGATCGTTTCCTTGCTCATGGTATATCAACGATGGCGATGTATAGCTCAGGGGAACTGGTTCATGCGTGAATAGAACACAATGCGGCCTGCACCGTTGGGGTAGATACTAACGAACACGTTTTATGTCTCGGTCAGCTTAAAGTAAGCGTGATGCCCACGATTGGAATTAATTCACCAGCGAAACTGTACTTACAAATGAGCGTAACACAAACGGGATGCGCGTGTAGAAACCACTGAACTGCCTCCCCAACTTTGCCGCAAGTTCATCAAACGTGTATGCAGCGTACAGCACGTGGTATTCACACGCAACGTGTAGTTTTAAGCAATATGCCGCGGTCACAAAAGTCGTGAAAGTCGGTTGGTAATGCAACAAAGGAATGATCGTTTATATGCGTGTTTCTTCTCTTCACGCATCAAGCAGTCACGAATGCTTGGCGATCAGGAAGTAATGGCAACAAAAAAAAAAAAAAAATGCTGCAAAAGGAGGTTAAAAAGGGAACTTATTCATGCATCGGCGTACGCAATATGGGAAAAAATGAATACAGAAAATGTAGATGATAAAAAAGGGAAAACCGCTATCCTACGCTCCCATCACATGTTTACAATCATACTGCTCTGGAAAAACTAAGCGCATAATAAACCAACAGACGAAGCCGTATGGCTAAGTGAATGAATTATAAAAGGACGCAAAAAAAAAAA